AAAATCTTTGTGCCTTGTTCTCCTTTCGCCCAGTACCCCAGTGACAACCCGCAGTAGTATGGATTAGAGTCTAAAATGATTGGACGTTTGAAACGTTGACAGGCTTTTGCCACCAGTGATGAGTCTTTCACCCTAACTCACAGCATTCAAAGGACAATGGCTCGGAGTGATTTGCCATACTGACAGCAAGGCATTAGACCTTAACTAGCAAAACGCTTGGTATTTCGTATACTAACAACTACCTGTTGATAGCTTGTGAATACCACACGGTTGTTCGCAGTGGTAGATAAATTTTAGCCAGGATATCCATGTACGAATTTTCTAACGGAGTCCAGAAAACTGTTTTTGGAGGATTTTCTCCATGTCCACGCATTAAACAAAGATGACGATTCTGCCGGCGTATTAACAGATATGAGTTCTTCCCACAGTTTTTGCTATCGAAATGGGGAAGGGACCTATTGTCGTCTTTATACTAGCCAGCTATACTAATTGCTTTACGCCGGTGTCTGGATGTCGGCAGTCATCTCTTACGTCTTCCCCGACTTTGGTGATCGTGTTATTGTTGCTAATCGCGCATTAAATCTCGATTGCTCCCCCACTCAGTAGTGTTTGTGCCTGTCCGACACCGGCTCATCCGTGTTTGCCTGCAGTCCCAGTAGTAGAGCTGCGCATACAGGGTCCGGAAGACTGGACAGCGGATGAGGGAAGTTACCCGCGAGTCATGCCTTAAGTGTTTATTTGGCCCTGACTTATTATCTTGGCGAGCGCATGCCCAGGATTTACGCAGTCGTCCTTCAAGCCTTCTTGAGCGTAAATGGAATTTAAGTGTGGTAGCAATTAGTGACAACAGATATCTACTAAACTGCAATCATTTTTTCACATACTCGACGTGCACATTTGCACCTTCATAAATAACTGCATTTTCGGTCTCAATTCCCTACTAGACTTATCTTGTGCTCTCTAGCAAACGCATGCTTCCTCCGGTCTTACGCGGAAATATGGATCGTGCTAAATCCTAGAAGGTGCTTGCTACCATGTCCTAGTTTCAGCTCTGGACCTAACACTAAACCTCCTGACTCCAACTCTTACCTTATGGCTAAACCAAATACCAGCACTCCTTAGTCTTACCCTTTTCCTTCTCCTCCTTATCCTAGTCGCCTGAAATTTAAGGCAAAACTGCCTGTAAAACGAGGATCCATATTCACATGCTTAGCCGTTCTACCCTCATTAATTTTTTTGCCCAGCTAATTTGCCGTAACCTGAACTTATTCCTCCCGTACGAACTTAAAGCTTTGCAGCGATCAAAACTGTCTGAGAAACTTGCAGATTGGCATCTAATGCATACTAATTTTAGAAACCCTCATCCTCAAGGAGGATTCAAGTCTCATATCACTCTAAAGATAACACAACTTGAAAGTTAGATGAGTCTCATATTAATTGCGACAAGCCGGCTCTTTTGGACCCTACTCAGCCGTAAAGCTACATCCCACACATCCATCCTACAAAGTCATAGTTATCGGTTAGTGGTATTCGCGTCACCTCGCTCCTGTCCTCTTCCTCTCAGTATCTAAACAAAGTATTTCAAATATAACGGATTTTCATGTCTGTTCGGGCAGGTACAATGAATTTAAACTCAAGTCAGGCGGTCAGTCGCGGAGTTACTTAGAGGTTTCTAGTAAGACTGCAGAATCACAACCCCTTAGACTTCCCATACCGAATGTATTATCTTCTGTTGATAAAGTGCTTACGAAATAGATTCTATTGTATGCTCAGTAAGTTCCGAATTGTCCTGCAGATTGAATAAATGACCCTCTGACCTTGATATCTGACATTCTCCTTATGGTTCACAAGTGGCCACCTTAATAATCTTGGTTGTGATATTGTCAAATAAGTCCCACAATCCTGTATGTGACAACATCTAGACCTTTGAGCTCCATTTGTGGTATAGAGTTGTTGTTCTATTCAGGTTGCGGCCAAAGGTCAGTACCTTCCACTAATTGGCCCCATTTTAGTCCACCTGAAGCAAATAAAATTAAGGATATCTGTTCCTTTAAAAACACGTCATGTTACCGCTGCTTTGAACACTAGTGATTATACTGACCTACAAAGTGTTCGAGTTTGCGATATTTTTTCGACTTCCACTCAAATATCCTTAAAGGATAAAGATTGGGCTGGTCGCTGCAAGCAATAGAGTCATTTTTTGGTGGGCCGAGCATTATTGAGGCATCTTCCTCAGAGGTTTCCTAATTTTTGTTTAGCTTTCATTAGACCCACTTGAAAATTCGAGTGTAATAGAGGCAACAATATTTTTGCTGCAGAATAGGCATTCTCACTGCATATTTGCAAAACGTGCCTAAATTATCGCAAATCCCTGCTTCAGTAATTTCCTTTACAAAACGGGGGTAATTGTTTGCAGCTAATAGTCAAATGAGATTCCTAGGTGGAGACCTTTTACGTCCACATCAAGTAGATAACTTGGATTAGGAAAAACGTGATTTTCATGATATCGTTTCTAGGCAAGTTCTGCTTTGCCCGCATCCATCCTTCCCCTATACTTTCAGGCTGTCTTACTGCTGAAGGTGTCGGTCAATTTCCTCCAAAGATGCCATAAAGATGAGAATTTCTCTGTGCTGGCTATTTAGACAATTCAGTTCTAATTTAAAATTCACGAAACCTTCATTGCCCAAGCACCCAAATATCCGCGCAAACTTCAGCGACCACAAAGGGCTTACAACACTAATAAGTCTCTCCACAAAAATTTCAGTTAATGCCTCGTTGTTGCACTTTCGCAATGAATGCCTTACGCAATAGGCGGCGCTTCGCTACCTTGGAAAGTCGCATAATCTAAGTAAGGAGGACTTTGTAAAGGGCTTTCTAAAGTTCTGCGATAGCAAATCTCTCTCTGTCAGATAGGAACGCACAGTTTATTCTTGTCTATTGAAAAACATCGTAAATTAATTTTCCTGAAAGCGGACTACTCCTATTTCACTTGATAGCTTGCGGAAATCCACATTCACATTCTTCATTTTTGCAGAAACTTTCAGTTACCCTCAAAATAGATTGCTAATTGCTGAGTTTCTTATAGGCCACAGCTACTTATTCTGGACAGTGTTCTGCAGTCCCGAAACAAACCCTGTGCGCCTCTTACGAGTTAGTTCTAATGCAGTTAAGTATTCGTCCATGTATACATCCACTCCTTCAGGAACCCATTCTTCCTCAGAACACTTGGTAACCTTTATAATTTCAAAATTCCCTATTCCTGTTCCCACATATATTGACATAAATTCATATTTGTTCTTTATAATGTCACCGGTATTAGAAACGTTGCTTTCTAAGCAGCTTTTCACGACCACATTTTATCCGTTTTTCGGTGATTTGTCGGATTTACTTCTATACACTAAAAGTTGTCTATCAGGAGAAGACTGTATAAAGTGAGATGAGTAATCATCCCATATAAATCCACTTACGATTTTATGCTCAGTGACGTATCGCTGTGCTCCATCCATTTCGTAAGCAGAGATCGCGTAGTCAGTGTCCTTTTGATTAATTGTAGGCCGGATTGCTTTGAAATATTTTCACCGAACCTTCTAATCTGTCGAAAATACTATATTCATCACGTATTAACTTTCAAAGTCTAATGTACTAACAGTCTGCCAGGTACATAGGTCGGTTGATTACAGTTTGATAAACTAAAAATTACAGACCTCGTTGTTTAGGAAAAGGGTTTGACTTTTGGATAACATAATTTAACTTTCAAAACAGAGTCGGCGAATAACTATAAAAATAAAAACATTTATTTGGTCATCTTTGGCCTACCATTTATCCTCCGCCAGATGTGCCCTGTCACCTGCCCGTCGCAATCGGGAGGGCTATTTCATATGAGAGTGACCTAGCACCAAGCTAACCAAACGACAGGGTGTGCTCGTTTCATTTGGCCTGGGGTTCTGCCGAGAACCCGCATGTTTATGAAATATCGATCGAATACACTGACAAGTCCTGCTTCAAACTCCAGGCCTGACGGTAGGAAAGGGCTGGCACGCCTGAATAATAAGTTCACTTTCTTTCTTCCCTGCCATTATTGGTTTTGGTTTTATTGCTTGTTATTATGCGACCACCTTTGGACTTCACGTGGATAGAATCTCGTTCTGTTCATTGAAATGCGTATCACGATTAAAAGCAACCTTATTCAAAAACAACGAACTGCCATTCACAACTTTCATACGTCAAAACCACTGTATTTCCAAAAGCAGACGAAAAAACACTCAACTACTCCTGCACTAAGAATTAAGACATAAAACCCAACGAAGAGTTTCGTGAGCGTCGTCATCTGAATAGGAGACGTATTCCGCGTTGCCGATGCCATTTGCCGTGCAGTGATAATAGTACCGAAGTTGACACCCCGATGGATGAGAAGGAGGAAAATCGACCCATGAAAGGTCCACATTTTTTCTCGACGTTTCAGATCTACTTCTGAACATATCACTACCCTCTTCTAATAGCTTAA